CTGCAACATGGCAGCTTCAGAAAGAAAAGCTGGTTGGCTAAAAGGCTATGTGGCAACAAACAAAAATAGTCTCTATCAAGGTGGGGTAAAAAAGGGAAACAGAACAACAAAGAAGCATACCAAATGCATCCACACTCCCCATGTCTACCTACTGCAAGAGTGGACGTGGTGGCAGCTGGGACTGACTCGCTCTCTGCCCCAGCTGTACGCAAGGCAGGGACCTGGGAAGCTGTACTGGGAGTCTCATGGAAGACATTCTATCCCAGGAGTCAGTGGTCTTGAACAGGCCATGTCTGCTTTACTGGGCCTTACACTTTGGACCAGAGAAGCCCATAAGTTGTTAATGTAATCTGTAATTTATAATATCTTTCGGAAAGTTAAGGTGTACGTGCATTAAGGGGTAGAATGTATTGATCCTAGTGAGGAGACTATTGTACATGGTGGAATCAGAGACCCACATCACAGCTGACCTGAGCAGGTGCAGCACTGTGCTGCGTTGCATGTCCAGCATGGCCTGCAGGCCTGTGGTATGCTGCACAGGTCCCTTGGCACAGGACAAACTCAGCCGGTGCATTGTAGCTGAGGAGCCTGCAGGCAGCTGCCACTCGCTACTGGAGATTATGTTACATGCACAGCCTTGCTCTTATCTAAAGCGCTGCATGAAGTTCTCATGCAAGCATCCTTCATAAATAGAGTTGTTTTCTTGTAAGAAAATTGTATAATAGCTCAAACAACCAAAAAGGAGGAACCTCTCTCTGCATATGGCACCTGTGCAGCATGCCATGGGAAAATCCATCTGAGGTCTGTCCAATGCTCCATGAACACAGGATTCCCACTGTCTGAAGGGACAGATTTATTTGCTATCTAGATTTCTCCTTCTGCTCTATCAGCTATTTTATTATGCCATTTGCTGCTGAGCATTGCTTACTGGAATCCAGAAAAAGCCCTGCACCGGCCCTCTCTGCCAGCTCACCCCCCACTCCCTGGTACAGAAGGCGGGCACCCCACTTACAGCCTCCATTACTGAGAAAATGCTCGGCTGTGCAACTCTTCCACTGAGTCAAACTTGCTATGATGAGGGAAGCCCACACTAAAACTCCCACAACAAATGCCCTGTCTTCCCTTAATCTTGTCAGCATGTGAAGACCTCAAAACGCTAAAGACAGTCAAAGACTAAAAGTCTTTTTTTGTCTGTTTCCAAGTAAAACTAGCAATGGCCAGAATTATTACCTGGTTTACTGCACAGACTCTCCCCTCTCCATTCAGCTTTTATTTCTTCAGTCTGACTGAATAATAAATTATAAATACTTCCTAACTATTCAAATATATAGCCATCTATACTTTTTTATAAAACACTATCAAAGATTTTTGGACATATTTAAGATTCAGTGATTTCATGGAACAATTCAACAGGTTTTGGATCTATCTGTCACTTAGGTTACTGACAGAACAGGGTACTAAGCAGCATAAATCAGGCCCAAGCCACCTCAGACAGCAGCGTATGTCCTACTGTGTCTCAAGAGCTAAATGGAGAAGATGAGGCCCAAAGTATCACACAGCATGTTGATAACGAACCAACCTGTCAATAGTGAGATGCTCTTAGATGAAGCAGAAAGAATAGAATGGGAAGAGGAGATGGAATGCTGCGTTTTGATTCATGCCATTGCCTACAGTCACCTAGAGATAGACTGAAATACATCACTGTGAAAGGTCCTCCAGGTCCTTTTCACTGATCTTGGTATACTGCAGCTCCTGCAACAAGCAGACTTGGGAGTCCATCTTGGGCTCACTGTAGTGAGCCGAAAGCCACATCACAAATACTTGTACGTGCCGCTTGCAGAAAGTTACTATGGAGAAGTCACGGAGAGAAAACAAGCAGTCTACATATCTACGGGATCTGACTGATCTTCAGTTTGCATATCCACATGTAAGCAGGTGTGCCGATTTTGGCTGGGATGTAGTTAATTTTCTTCGTAGTAGCTGGTATGGTGCTAGGTCTTGGATCTGTGACCAAAAGAGTGTTGATAATACAGGGATGTTTTCATTACTGCCGAGCAGTGCTCACACAGGGCCAAGGCCTTTCCTGCTTCTCACCCCACTCCACCAGTGAGGAGGCTGCGGGTGGGTGCACAAGAAGTCGGAAGGGGACACAGCCGGGACAGCTGACCCCAACTGACCAGAGGAATATTCCACACCATATGACATCATGGTCAGTGTATAAAGCTGGGGGAAGAAGAAGGAAAGGAGGGACATTTGGAGTGATGGCCTTTGTCTTCCCAAGTAAGCATTAGGTGGGATGGAGCCCTGCTTTCCTGGAGATGGCTGAACACTTGCCTGCCGACGGGAAGCGGTGAGCGAATTCCTTGTTTTGTTTTGCTTTAACTATTAAGCTGTCTTTATCTCAGCCCCCTTATCGGGCGCTCACCGCGCGGCACTCCA